ATCTTCCTAGATTCAACTACCTGAGATTCAGACCAACTCAGGCAAGATACTCCGTTTGAATAAGAGTTCTCCCCTCAGAATCTAGTCACTATCTATAGTCCACAGACCTCATCCAAGTCCACCGACACAACCTTCTAAGGGTTACAGGGATACAAGAGAAAACTCACACAAGCACAGCAGTGATCACAGCACTTGAGTACCTTTTAGCAGTAACTCATTGCCAAATGAGTTCAATGTAAAGTCTTAGGGTTTAGAGGAAAAGGGCTCTAACCTTCCTTTTTAGCATAATTTCCCACTATTCTCCTATATGCCTTCTATGGTTACAGAAAAAAAGAACTACAAATTATTCTCTGAATATACTTCATATTTTTTCTATCTTTATGCCTTTGAAAAGTTATTTATATCTAGAATTCTCTTACCTTCCTTGCCCTGACTCCTACGTTAATTTCTATTTTTACCCATTTTTTTAAAGCCAGATCACAAATTACCTCCAACCTTAAGCAATTTTTATAATCCCCTAAAGCAGGGGTGCCCAATCTTTTGGCTTCCCTGGGCCACATTGGAAGAAGAATTGTGTTGGGCCACACATAAAATACACTAACACTAACGACAGCTGAAGAGAGAAAAAATAATAATAATAATAATAATAAATCTCATAATGTCTTAAGGAATTTTAAGAATCTGTGCTGGGCTGTGGGTTGGGCAAGCTTGCCAAAAAGAATAATAGCTCTCTTCTTGGAGATTCAATAGCAGTAGTTATAGTACATTGACATCCTTGTGGATCTATCATTCTCTGCCCGTGTTTTTGTTTTAAACCCTTTACTTAGGCTGTGGGCAGCCTGTGGGCAGGGACCATGCCAGACTGATCCTTGTGTCCTCCACAGCACATAGTAGTTATCCAGTAAATATCTGTTGAATTATTGAGTATATACCATTAATTGAATATTGAGTAAATCTCCACGTTTCCTGGCTCATGAGCTTTTCCTTAACATACTTTTTATAGAAAGCTTCATTAGAGACTCAAAAATATATACATAAGATAATTTAGAATGTATGAATAACTACATGTAGTAAAATAAAGGTAAGATTTAACATATTTAGGATGAAAATATTCAGAAGTAAAATATAACCACCAACAACTGGGCATCAGAAAATTTCCATCTTCTTATACAGAGTATACATGTTAAAGCTAAAGGTCAAAAGCTAATGATCAAAACCAAATAACAATATGTAAATTAATGAACAAAGGCCCTGTTCAGACATTAGGAAAGACTGTTCTGAAATTAGTCCCTACACCTTGATTACAAGTGCTTTTGCAAGGTTATGACTATAAAGCAAAGTACAGACTTACGTGTGGTAAATTAATTACTCGAGAAGAGGAACTGTTTTATTCATCTTTGTTCCCCTCTAGTACCTGATGGATTAAATAAAAAGATACTTGCTCCAATCAATATAGACATTTAAGTGATTGATGTCCTATTTAAAATAAGCCACCTGCCAAGAACTGATGCACTTTAACAATTCTTTCATTTCAAAGAGCATACAACTGTTCTTTACTACTTACTGAAGAAAATTAAAATTGTAACCCCAGATTCAAGTCCACTCACAATTTTCTTTTCTTTCTTAGTCTCACAATTTTCTTTCCTTTTCTGGTCTCATGTCTTACTTCTTTCCTTCAAGCTTCTTATCTGCCAGTCAAATGAAACTTTCTGACTTCATATTTGCTTGCCTCCATACCTCTTGTCATTCTGCAATTTCTTATGTCATTTATCATTTTCTTCCTTACATGGAATCTTATACATAGGTTGTTTTCCTTACTAAGTTGTAAGATCCTTATGTCAAAAACCATGTCCTATGTATTTTTAACTGTATTTTATACCTAGCACTTGGTACCTGGTAGGCATGCGCACGAGCGTGCGCGCGCGCGCGCACACACACACACACACACACACACACACACACACACACACACACACAATGTATTGAAGGAATTAATGTTTGAATACCATTAAAGCTCAAAACTACATTTTGGCAAGACATAAAAGAAAAAATGACTTCTTAATTTACAGCAGTGGCTTTTAAATATAAGTGGGCAGAAGAAATACCTGGGAAACTTGTTAAAAATGTAAATTCTCGGTGTTATTTGTCACCAGGGGACTTGAAGGAATACCAAGAGGCCACTGCAATTACCTAATAAGAAGCCATTAACTCCTGAACCACAGCTGACAGTAAAAGGAAACAAGGAAGAAATGAATGAGAGAGAAGAATCAGCATACTCCTGGCCGTTAGAGTCAAACTCTTCCTTTGCAAGAAAGTCAGTCATTTCTTGGGTATTTTTCCTTACATCTAACCACTGACTTTTTACATCAGGACAACAACATATATGTGTTTATTTGAAATTCCACTCCCTTAAATGCACACAGAGAAATAGTTATTTTTCTTAGAATAGTTTTCAGATATTTACCATATTTCAAAATGCACAGTACATAAGATAAACCATAGAGACTTTTTATACAAAAAATGTTACTATGTGTTAAGTATTACAAAAGGTATAAGCTCTGGTTATAAAGCAGCAGGGTGCTGAGAGAACTATCATGTTTTCTTTAGATTACTTCAAACAGAGGATATGAATTATAGAAAGTAAGACTTCAAGAAGAGTTTTGCCTTTCAGAAGTTTGTAAAATGCCAGTATTCTAAATTTCATCCACTGAATTCCTTAGGACAATCTGATATAGTACACAATATCTGTCACTTATCTATCCATTTGGCAAAGACTTCATAGAGACAAATGTGACAGAGGCTCAAAAATGGAGACTACTAGAAAAATGACCAAAGCCAGAAATAAAGTTGTGCTAATTAGAAAACAAATAATTAAATGGCCCAACCCGAATGTTGTGTGATGCTGAAAAGAGATAAATTTCTAAGGCACACCATCTGTTTTACAGTTTATTTTGCTGTACTACAAATCTACTCAACATAGTTTTGCAGTGATCTAGCTGCTAACTCATTTGCACAATTACTTTAGGCCAGAAATAATTATTGCACAGAATCCTTTGAGAGAGCAACACATTGATTGAAGAGGGCAAATATAATTCATTCTTGGGTGAAAACTATTTTTTAGCCCTTAAAGAAAAAATGTTATTCAAAGAAATTCGAAATGGCCAAAGGAAAATTAGATAATTTAAAAGGAGAGTGGTATCACTATACATTTATGTATCTAAGCTTCTCTGAGGTTCTTAATGTTTTAATACCTAAAGACATGTTGCTGGGGCCTCTTCTCTCTGTCTTTTCTTCCTTATTTATCTCTTCAGCCCAATGGCTTTATGTGGTGTTTGTATACTCAATGATTCTCAAATTCGTATCTCCATCTGAAACCTTTCCAGTCTCAAACTCATATTTTCAGTTATCTGTTTGACATCACCACTTGGCTGCCACATAAGCATTGCAAACTGATCCTATCTAACATAGAGTTCTTGATTCACCATCCCTGCCCCAGAAAGAAATCGATTTCTCCTACAGTCTTCCATATCTCAGTAAATAGCACTACCATCCAACCAGTTGTTAGAATAAAATCTAGATGTCATCCTTATTTCCTCTTTTACCTCATTTCTCATCCAATCCATCATCAAGTCCTATCAATTATACCTCTAAAATATGTCTCACATTTTTCTCTTCATCTCTGTTGCTACCACCCTATCCAAGTCACTATCATCTCCCAACAGTTCAACTTCAATATCTATTTAATTCCCTATTTCCAAGCCACTCCCTACCCCAATGGTCAGAGTGATCTTTTAAGAATATTATCATATGCTAATTTATATTTCAAATGTAATTATATATAGTATCCCCAGTACCTAACACAGTGTCTAGTAAATAATGGATCTACAATTTTTAATAGATGAATACTCCCTAGTAACATCCCCATATACCTCTAATAATTTCCAATCTCATTTCTCAGAAAATTTTCTGAGATACCTACAGACCTATTCACTTACTGAATCATTCACTCATTCAGCAATTGTTTGAATATTAATTGAAATTAGGACCAGCTGCACACTATAGGGTATCTTAACGATGACAGAAATCTGTTTCCTGTTCACATAAAAAATTCTGGAGGTAGGCAGTGAAGGGCTGACATGGTAGCTTTGTGAGCTACCTTGTGGTTCCTTGCATTTTGTTGCTCTGCCATCTCCAGATTCTACTTTACAATCTAATATGGCTACTTAAACTCACATCTGAATCTACTAGGAAAGAGGAAGGATATGAGAAATGCCATACCCTCTCCATTAAAGGACACTTCCCAGAAATTGCACCCACTTCTACTTGTGTCTCACTGACCATCATGATAATTAGCAAAGAAGACTGGGAAATAGTCTTTTAACTGGACAGCAATGTTTCCAGCTAAAAGACAGGACCATTATTATAGAAGGAGAAGAATAAATACTTAAGGATAAGCAGAAAGTTCCTGTTGTGACCAGGTAATGTTCATGTGTAGGCATACAAAAATCAGGAAGAAACAGGTCTGTGCTTGAAGCACTTAGTCTAATGGCAGAAAGCAATTGTAAATAAACAAAATTCCAAACCAGGAGACTGCCACTGTTTGGAGATCTTGGCTTTTCTCAGTCCCCAAAGATTTTCTATATCCCAAGAGGTAAAAGAGAGGTGAGTGGTTCCAGTGTTTTACATCACTGAACTATATAGACTGTTTCAATTTTCCACAGCTATAATATTGGACATTTTTAAGCTCTGTTCTATTGGACATGATACTTTCATGACACTGAGCAAAGACCACTGAAGCCTCTATAAATATATATAAACAACTGTGACAACAGTTTGAAAATGCCCATTTTCAGAAATCTGTCAAGACTCAATTTTTTTTTAATTTGACAGAAAATCAAACTAATTGACTGTTTTAAGACTATATGGAAAACTCCAAGGCAAAAAGAAATGAGCAATGGTAGCAGGTCAGAAAGAAAGAAAAAAGTAATATTGTGACTTACTGTTAACCACTGGTTATCTAGTAGTTCCTTAGCTGTGATTCTGTGAGCAGGATCTACTTTCATAAGTTGTTTCAAAACACTTTTAGCTAAAAATAAGGAAAAATCCTGAAAAAAATCTTATTTATTTTAACTACAATTAATAACATACGTTTTACAATTTTTTAGGATTAGGTGTGTATAACAGGAAAGAAGGATGCCAAGTATACACTAAATATCATCAGTATAAATGCCTAATAAATATAGTTTAAAGCCTAAAGTGAAGTTTTATTGCCTGGATTACCTAGTTTAATGGTCTATAGTAAACATTAGCTAGAGGATTAGCAAATTTCCTCTTTAATTTTTACTATTTTCTGTTTTTGAAAGTTTTGATGATGAACAATCACAGTGAAGATATTGCTATTTCCACAAGTAAATTTAATGACTAAACAGAGATTTAAAACATTTTAACCACTGGCCAACTTTCTTATATTAGCTTTAGTAAATAATAACACACCTTTACTTACCACTATCACTTATGGAATTCCAGACTGGATTTTCAAAATGTAGTTCTCCTTTTCTTATTAACTCAAAAAGCTTCTCTTCTGAGCTTGCCAAAAAGGGTGGTTCTCCACATAATCTGCAACAAAGGCAATCACTTTGTTTAAATTTTTTAAATAATAAAAATACGGCTATTAAAATTAAGTTTCTATAGGACTTAGAAGTAGTGTTGCTTCATATTTAAGGAAAGGGTGGGAAGGGATGGGTACCTCCCTGAAGTAAAAATGGAAGCAACAGGGTTTTCCAAGATCAGTGCTAGGCTCTTATTTCAACATTGAGAGAAAGTATCTGGTAGAGGAAGTATGCATGTATACATTAAAACCTCCAGATCTGCAAATGACCCAAAGCTCTTCCAGGTGGGGAAACACTAAGTTTAAATGAGGTTAAAATACAGGAAGGTGAGTGTAAGTATACAATAATAGTGGTAGCTAATAAAGGAGATACACTTTAGAGGGAGCACCAGGAAGGTAATACCTTAAGGTACATATTGCAAATTGACTCAACTGAAAAATAAAATGAGTTAACAGTCTAATTAGTTACCAGAGACTAATGACCACCAAAGGCTTTTATCCATGGTAAAATACTATACAAATGTTAATAATAATAAAAATAAACCAAGACTAACCCTGGAATTTTTTTTTTTTTTTTTTGAGACAGAGTCGCACTCTGTCTCCCAGGCTGAAACCTCTGCCTCCCAGCTTCAAGTCATTCTCTTGCCTCAGCCTCCCAAGAAGTGGGGATTATAGGCATGCGCCACCATGCCTGGCTAATTTTTGTATTTTTAGTAGAGATGGGGTTTCACCATGTTGGCCAGGTTGGTCTTGAACTTCTGTCTGAAGTGATCTGCCTGCCTTGGCCTCCTAAAGTGCTGGGATTACAGGTGTGTGCCAGTACACCCAGCCCTAACCCTGGGAATTTCTATAGGATCTGAGTCAAAGCCAAAAAGCCATTAAAATGGACACACGTCTTCAAAAACTGTACATGAAATGAAAATGGTCTGAATGCAGAAAAAACAGATGATAATTTGACCCTTAGGCCCGAAAGGGTAAAAGCTGAGTATACATAATGACCAACATCAGTAAAACCATGAGCAGTGTATGTAAAGTAAACATGGGCTTTCATATTCTGTAATACAGAAACAATGTACCTTTAGGCTCTTAACACAACATGGTAAGCCTATAAAGCTATTACTTCAATAAGTGATCTAGGTCAAAACTATAAGAACATGCTTAAAAGCTGAGTTCAATTCTTCATAATATAATGTCAACAAATGTCAGCCATCCTCATTACTGTCAACTCCAACATCTGAGGGCAATCCAGTAGATAACAACCAGATTTGCCCATGACAACCAGATGAAATTAGATCAGTCACAGGGGCAACTCTGTCTGTTCTTCAACTCTCAATATTATATATTTATACTTCATTGATGAAAGAATAAAATGGCATAATTTCATAATACTTCCCAAACTGCCAGTCTATACTGTACATAAGTATAATAATCTCTAAGTCTTTTAACAGTTACATTTTTGCTGATTTTCTTTTTATCCTTCTTTAATTATTTAAAAAACCTAATTGATGAAAACTTTCTGAATAAGTCAAAATTTGATTTTTCAAAATAGTAACGATGATGATGACTTCTGTGGGGGGAAGAGTTGCTTTCATCCTAGTGGTTTATCAAACCAGAATGGACAACAGAGCTTTTTCATTTACCAATAGGTTCTTACTAAGTATTTATCACTATAATATTGTTCTGCAAACTCTGATTTCTTTATTTCTCTAGCTCATTCTGATTTCCTCTGTCTCATCCTATTTGCCTTGCTATTGTTTAGTTTTAAAATGCAATTTAAAAAGCTATGGAAAACAAAATATCCAGAAAAATGGCCTTCTGGACAATTACTATCTATTATAACAGTGCAGGCCAGCAAAGGCCTAGTTCATTGAGCCTGTTATCAACCAGTGATATACACATCCACCAACTTCCTAGCTGCCTCTGCTTTGCCTGACTAGCATGCAACCATAGCTTAAGGGCTACATTTTAAAAATTTCACTTTTTTCCTGTTCTTTGCAATTTTACTTACATAAAGATGTATCTAATGGTTGGTCAATCAGCAGCATACAAAATTTTATGACAGCAATTTCCTGCCCATCCAGAAAAGGGAATCCAAGACATGAAAAATGTCTCTTAAAGCTTCCTACTATTTTGTTGCATTCGTAGAAATCAAAGCAGCAGAGGACAGTAACCATAAAGAATATTTACTTATGCTAATTTCACCTTGAGAAAGTATGTTATCACTATCTGATTAAATAGAAATGAATCAGAGGTAACTGATAAACAAGAAAATAACTACCCTGGAGAAGGTAATATGTTTGTGCTCTCGATGAAGGAAATTATAACACCATTGGGCTCAGACAGATTAATGAATAGGCACTGATTAGCTAAGTAAGAGTCTACTGTAAAGAAAATACAACGTCATTACAATGACATGCTGTCACAATATGAAACACAAAAATTAAAATTATATTTTTAAGAAAGAGGAAGGTATTTAAGATATAATACATTCTAATACATTCACTTTCCTTAGCACCAAGTTCAAACTAAAAGGGCAGCAAACACTACATGAATTGCATAATATCAGATTACATACAGGATGTTTGACTCATGCTGTCTGGAAAGTTTTGAGAGTATAAAAGACTAATTTAAAAGTTATGTTTTAATTAAAGACTAGGGCTCAGAATTTTACTATGATTTTAATCAGCACAAACTGATGATCAAAAACTTTGTGAATACATTTCTACTTTATGTAATCTAAGCAATGATGTGTGTTGACCAGCTGAATTACAGCTACAATCACATCAACCAATTTCTACTGCCTGTGTATTCCATTTCACAGAACTGTGAAAATGTAACTACTGTGAGGTCAATATTTAGAAATGATCTGGAAGAGGTAGTGCATAGTGAAATCTTCAATATGACCATAAAACTAATGTTGCATCAACATAAAAATGTTCATATTCACCAAGAGGCAGAGCAATAGTCACTAACTTTTCAGAACACCTCTTAGATGATTCACTTTAATTCAATTTAACAAACATATTGAGCACTGAATATATGTCTATTATACCAGATACCAGGAATGCAAAGGTGAATAATCTAAGAGCTCTGTCCTCCACGGAATTTAGAACAAGGAAAACAGATACAATATATAGTATTATAATACAGTTTTAAAAAGCTTTATGAGAATACATAAAAGGGAATAATGAATTCTATCAGATTTACACATGTGCAAACCTTCCTGGTTAAATGTTCCTATTTTATTTTTTTCTTTCAACATTACTGTTCTGTATGCCACCTTAAAATCTTTTGTGGAATATGAGAAAGTATATACATAACAAATGTGAGAACTCTGCTATAGCGCGGTAAAGTAGGAGTAGGGGAGTAGAAGGCATTAATGTTTGAGCTGGGTCCACCCAGAAGAGAAGCTTATAAAGAAAAAGAACACACTCATACCCAGACATAGCCCAGAGGCATGCGACACAGGGTGTGTCTGAGTATTGAAATGTGACCTGGAATCACCACAGCACAGTGTAGGTGCACAGGAATACACATCTAGCCCCAAACTGGAAAGGCATGCTGGAGTCAGGTCATGAAAGACCTGCTGTGCCATGCCATGCCAGGATGTTCTGATACTTTTCTGTATACAAATTATATATATATATCAGAGGCTTTTAATCAGGAAAGCAGCATGATTGGATTTGTGATTTGAAAGGACACCCCTGGCAGCAATATGAAGGACAAACTGGGGAGGGTGACCAGAAGTAGGGAGAACAGTCTTTCTGTTCTGTATTAGTCTAGAAAAGGAATCATAAGAGTCTTTCTGTTCTGTATTAGTTTAGAAAAGGAATCATAAGGAGAAAAGATACAGGTGAAGAGAAATCAAAGAATAGGTGGGATATTTCAAAGGAAAAATGAGCAGGCTATGGAGTTTGACTGAATCTTGAGAATGAGAGAGAAGGAAGAACAAGAATGACTGAAGGCTTCAGCAGCATTAGGAGAACTGAGAACTGCAGAATACTCCCTAGATCCTGAGTGACCCACGGCCTAGTTAGTGCCCACTCCCACCTATGCTCTGTCTTTATGGGCAGAATGAGTGCCAGGCTGCAGTACCTCCCTAGACCTGATAAACGACAAGTGAATCTCATGAGAAAACACAAAGAAGCTTTTAGTTTGTAGCAAGGGATATGGAAGGTGTTTTTTCATTTTGCTCAGATCATATTGTTGCATTTATAGATCAATGAAAACCAAAGCTGAAAGTTATAAATTTGCAGTATTAAAAAATACCTAAGGGATGTATACCTGACAACTAATACGAGAGCTTTTAGAATGACCTCCCAATTGGTTTTTAAATCACTTTTAAATATATATATATGAGTTTTAACTTAAAGTCTACATCATTCCACTGTTAAAAACTACCCACTCATCTTAACGTGTACATTTAGCGGGCTACTTACAACATATACATTATGACGCCTATGCTCCAAATGTCACACTGCTGGCTATAGTCGTGGGCATTGATAACTTCAGGGGCTGACAAACAAGCAGAAATAAAATAATTAATAATACAATAAATGTCTTTTAAATGCTTAAACACAAAGCATGAAAAATGTGCTGATGTGCTGTAATTTATTCCCCCATAGGGAAAAAAGAAACAACAGCAGATGTTAAATGAATAATGCACAGGCCTTAACAACTGATGTCACTGTATCCTCACTCCCATCATTTAGCTTCTAAGGGAACAATGGTGTAAACTGTATAACTAAATGCACCACTCTTTATTCCTTTAAATTGTTAAGAAATGGTTTTACAAAGGTTGTATAGTTATAGAAGACAACAATATCCCAGTCCCTTCCACACAATAGAATTAAATATATGCCTTAAGTGGATGTAACATAATGCAAGCCCAATACGTGGAAATCTGGATTCACAGAAAAACTAAGGCACATGGTTACAAATCACTTTGGTAAAATAATAGCAGCATCACTACTACAACAGAATATGAACTGTTTTCTGCATTTTCAAATAAGAAAGCCAAGACAAAGAGGGAACTCCTATATAACTAGATCAAAAAGCCAACTAGTCACAGGATATAGACTATACTAAATATATATGTGTGTATATATATACATATATTTTTTTTTCTCGACACAGGGTCTCACTCTATTTTCCAGGTTGGTGTGCAGTGGCATGATCATGGTTCACTGCAGCCTCAAACTACTAGGTTCAAGGTATCCTCCCGCCTCAGCCTCCTGAGTAGCTAGACTATAGGTGCACACCGCCACACCCGGCAAATTATATTTTTTAAAACTGTTTTAGAGATGGGGTCTTGCTGTGTTGCTCAGGTTGATCTCAAACTCCTGGCCTCAAGTGATCCTTCCGCCTCAGCCTCCTGAACAGCTGGGATTACAGGCATAAGACAGCATGCTCAGCTGGCTGCCTTTTAAAAATGTCACAAATGACATTGCAGGAACATGTCTATTGTACCTCTACAGCTAGGAATCAGATACATTGCTTTAAGAAAAAAATTTTACAAAGTTGTAAGCATAAAAACAAAACATATGTATATATTTCAATAGGACTTTAAAATTTACAAAGTGTTTTTGCCTAAATTAAATTATTATTTGTATAAAGTATGTTAAGAATTCTGTGAGGTAGGTATGTGAGCATTTGACTCCCTTTGCCAACAAGGAAACTAAGGTTTATATATATTAAGTGACTTGCCTAAAGTTACACAGCTACAGAGTGCCTCATATAGAAAAGGTATGTTTTTATTTTAGAAAAGTTTCAATCTCTTCTACGTACACATACCTACACCTACACACCTAAACACACACACACTCACACACACACACACAACCTTTTATAATAGTAAAAGCAGGCCGGGCACCGTGGCTTATGCCTGTAATCCCAGCACTTTGGGAGGGCGAGGCAGGTGGATCACCTGAGGTCGGGAGTTCAAGACCAGCCTTACCAACATGGAGAAACCCCGTCTCTACTACAAATACAAAAAATGAGCCTGGTATGATGGCGCATGCCTGTAATCCCAGCTACTCGGGAGGCTGAGGCAGGAGAATCGCTTGAACCCGGGAGGCATAGGTTGTGGTGAGCCGAGATCACGCCATTGCACTCCAGCCTGGGCAACAAGAGTGAATAAAACTCCATCTAAAAAAAAGGAAATAATAATAAAAGCAAATGAAATTTCATTTCCGCCTTTTTACTCAGCTTAGTGTTAAAGAAATAAAAGGCAACAAAAAGGTCTCAAAAGATTAAACAGAAGAATGAGAAAAGGTAAAGTGCAGATCATTAACACTGAGCAATCTGTCTCCAAATGATTGAAAATTAAGTGATATTTTCCTTCAAGCTGTTATTTGTATTCGTTAACTCTATTTAAAATCTTTAAATATTGAATCTTTAAAGTTCCAGTTGCTCTATGGCCACATGTCTATGAAAGGGCAAATCCTGTGACTAGATTCAATAAAGGATTTCCAGACTGGTGCAGCACACAGCAGGGGACAGGAATCCCTGGTCCTTGCTCTTTCAGAGTCACCTTAATTATCAGGGGCATTTCGATTTGCACTGTCATCCCGGCCCTCATAGGGATGTAGAGGCCAGAGTAACTGCCAAGAAGCCATTTAGGAAGTCAGCAAAGCTCCACAAACCATCTGTCTTCTCTCTTGTTCTCTTACTTGTTATCAATGTAGACAACTAATAAGGAGGCATAAAACTCAGGGTGCTTGAATATATTTTCCCCATGTAACTACAGACCAGATGTCTTTTGCCAACAGGGGGATATGAGCAGAATCTAAAGTAGCCTTTTCCCAAATAAGATAAAACAATTTCAAAACTTTATGCATCAAGTAGACAAAAAAGCAATGAACTAGACATACTCTTGAGCAACAGAAATGAATAAACCACTGACACAACAACATGGATAAGTCTCAAAAGCATGATGTAAGACGAAAGACAGACAGACACAAAAGAGTATGTACTGCATGATTCAGTTTATATCAATTTCTAGATAAGCAGAACGGAGCTGTGGTGATAGAAATCATCAGTGGTTATGGGTGGGGGATTGACTGAAAGGGACACAGAGGAACTTTCTGGGGTAATAGAACTATTCTATATCTTGACTGGGGTGATGATTACACAAGCATTTGTCAAAACTTAAAATTTGTGTATCTTATTGCAAGTAAATTATAATCCTAAAAAGTTGATTTAAAAAAAAATCTACTAAAACTACAAAAAGAATACGTCAAAGGCCTATCTTGGTGAATGATTCTCTTAGAGATCGACAGAAGTGGCAAGCAAAAATAAATCAACAATATGGAAGATCTGAGTCACAAAAATAGCACATTTGATTTAATAAGCACACACAGAAATGTTTATGCTCAACAAACCAGGTATACATACACATTTTAAAAATATCCAATGCATCATTTGCAAAAACTGATCATGTGTTCTGCCACAAAGGAAATTCCTAAAAGTTGAAAACCTCTAAGACGCAGTCACCTACCACAAGAAAGAAAACCAGACAAACCAAAAGGCTAGGACGACTAACATGCATTCATATGAGTTTCAAACACATCTCAACCACCTGGAAAAATTCTAAAAACACTTCTAAATAATTATTCAATTAAAGAAAAGACTAAAATTATAATTTTTTTAAGAGATGAATCACAATTAGAACACCATGTGGCAAAAAAAAAAAAATCAAGGTATTCAGAGGAAAATATACAGCTGTAAATGCATTTCATAGAAAATAAGAAGCCTCATAATAAATATGTATTCAACTTAGGAAGTTATAATAAAAAACAAACCACCAGCCACAGTGGCTCATCCCCATAATCCTAGCAATTTGGGAGGCCAAGGCAGGAGAATCGCTTGGGAACATGGTGAGACCTCGTCTCTAATAAAATTTAAAAAAGAAAAAAGTTATCTGCTGTCTCTTAAAATATAAAAAATTAAAAAAATTTAATTAGCTAGGTGTAGTGGCATACACCTGTGGTCCTAGCTACTCGGGAGGCTGAGGTAGGAGGATCACTTGAACCCAGAAGGTCAGACTGCAGTGAGCCGAGATTATGGCACTGCACTCTAGCCTGGGCATCAGAGCACGATCCTGTCTCAAAACAAAAATTCATTTTAAGTCTACTAACTTACCCATATAGATGGGAGTCCCACATGTGGCCTGCAGCATGGCTTCACTCCTACTTTGCTTCTTCACCGCTAAACCAAAATCAGTCACCTAAGAGAAGATATTCAAGCACAGCCACCTGAGTTCCTGTCCTAGGGCTCACTCATTCCGAAGATAACACTTTCAGCACATTGTACCTGCATTGAATTCTGGAGTTCTTGGGGTTGGGATGACTTTAATTGAATCAATAAACATTTTACTTTTCCTTCTCCACCCACCTCTCTGTATAGAGAAGAAACTGGGTAAAGAGAAGCTTGCGTTCTCAAATCTTGAGAGAATCCTGTGATTTAACTGTTCTTGCCTTCCGATTACATTCACCAGTCTAACATCGGAAGCAGTATTTGAAAGGAGGCATTTAAACTTTCTTCAGATTAAAAAAGGTTTTTTTAAAAAAAAGTCCTTTCATTGTAAAATACATTTCGGGTTTAACATATTATCTGTGTTTCTGATAATCAAGTTATGTTCCAGTTTAAAGCATTGTTGTAAATGCAAATCACTATCCCTGTCACAGCACTTACTGAAACTCCCTTTTTTAAATAATTATTTATAATCGGTAAACAGTATATTTTCTTTACTATTATTTCCTTTGTGTTTCTAGTGTATACTAATTAAAACAATTACTACAGCATTAAAAACTACAACAAACATATTAACAGGAAAAAATCACAAGAAAGTATTAACTACAAATACACTGGTGGCCTAGTACTGCAACTGTAATCTCTCTGTTCAGTTCTAAATCTTGATCATTAAACATTTAGTTATTAAATATTCAGTATGTGCCTTTGGAATTATCTCCCAAGTTGGAACACCCTTGGACTGAGAGCAGAACAACAGACACATTTATTGATTAAGTAACCAAATATAGGCTCTTGGTCCAGAGACAATGAATGCAAAGTTTCCAGTGGCTTATGGAGTAAGAAAATGCTCCTATTTACATGTGATATTACTATTTTTCTAAACAGATGAATCAATTTCACCATTAGTTTTCATAAATATCTCACTTGAAGCATATGATACATGTCTTTCTCTATAGAAAATCCATCCAGACACATGAAATATACAAAGTTTCACAGTCCAACTTAGTTCTTTGGAGACATCTATTCCTTCCTTCATCAAATGTTAAGTGAATACATACTATGTTCCAGGCACTACTTCAGGTACTAAGTGAATAAGACATACACAATTCCTGCCTTCATGGAGTTTACAATGGAACTGTTATTGAACATTTACTTGGGTAAACCAACAATGCTGTTAAACCTATTTCTGTTACACAGGACTTAGCTTCTGCAACAAAGTGAGTTACTCATAGACAACATTTTATTCCTAAATTAACACATTTATATATTTTGAAAGCAGCCACTATAATGGTGCTAAATAATGTATCCTATCATTTATTTGACATTAGGGAACACTTAATTTGAATAAAATCTTGAAGAATAAACACTTGGCACATTAATTGTACTTAGGACATAAATATTAATATACAGGAAAATTTTCAATAAGAAATACAGACTGTAGAATTAATTTGTTATCAAAAGCACAGGCAAGGTGTGCTTTTCTTGAAATCTGTAACACATTTACATCAAATTACCAGGCATAATTTTGAAATTAATTAGAATTCAGAGCATCTGTTTGCTTGCTATTAACTAATGATTTAAAATTATTCAAATGAATGTGTACTTTAAAAACACATTCAATAGCTCCACTTAACTTGCAAAATTATTCTTGTCACTTACAACCTCTTGTGAAATTTTTATTTTTTAGCAAAAGCCACTTATTTTCCGGCTTCTCAAACGCTAGCAACATGTGTCTAAAAAGAGGAGGTACTTTGCCATTTTGCTATCAAACTGTTTATAGGCAAGTATTTAGCAACTTTGCTAACCTTACCTTTATGTTCAAGTTTATTTCATTGTTATCATCAACAAGGCTGCTTTTAACCAATATGTTTTCCAGTTTCAAATCTCTATGTACAATATCTACCAAGAAAATAAACAACAAATCAAATGAAATGAATAATGGAAAAACAGGAAAGACACATATAGAATAAATATATTTGACAAATTAATATCTACTGTTGAAAAATTCGAGGGCCAAGCATAATCTGTCCTGTTCTATTCTCTTATTTATAAACCCTTTCCCTACATTTCTAACCTTGAGGAGCCATTTTCTTTGACTCCCTCACCTCTACCCATTTCCCTGTGGTCCCAACCAGCTGCTCTTCATGATGAGTGGCCTGGGAAGTGAAGGAGAATCCTATCCATGCTTAGGTATTCCCAGGAGAAGGGAGATCATCTTAGTCACAAACTCAGCCAGGTTTCCCATATTCTTAGGTCTTTAAATATAGGATCACTTCTTTACTTCTATGTATATGTTACTGTCAACATAAACATTTTAACACACTGTAACTTGGCTACATATATACAGACTATACTTATTTCAGTATATTTTTCTACAACATCAACACACATTTTCCTACTCTTTATGTATTAAAATAAAAACCAAACAAAACCCCTTGAGACACAAAATCTCCAGCTGAACATGTCAGAGCTCAGGTACAATTTTTATGTACATACAAACAACCATGTACCAAACACTTCCTTTGCAAATAATTAATTCAGTTCATATCCATTGCAATCATTTCCCTAGACTTAAAAAGTTATACACATAATTGCTAGAGGAATGTATTGAATGAGTCCTGAACTGGCAATTATACCTAATCATTTATAGCTCCGTTACACAATTCCCAGGCTTTGTTTTTGGAATTTTTATTGTTTCAATTGCTCTTCTTGTCCCTTTGAACATAAATATCACACAGCCTTAACAAATATATCATTGTGTTTTGATCCTTGGCAGGGCAGATCTCCCTGTTGCCTCCATTGTTCTTCTTTTTCATTATTGTCTTGACTATTTTTACCCATTTGAGAATAATCTTATCAAGTTCCATGAAAAATGCTGCTAAGATTTTGTTTGGAATTACACTGAATTTATAGCTTTTTAGGGAAGGACTGACAATAGCATAATATTAAGCCCTTGAAAAAATTGTTTCCCTCTGCCTGGAAAGCATGCCTTTTTAATTTTTTTGAGTTTGTATTCCTCAGATCAAATATTGCTACTTCAGTGAATTCTTTCCTGACTTTCCAAGCCAAATGAGGCACTTAGACTCCTGTAATCCTTGAGCTTTATGTGGCTTTCCATTAGAGAGATTATCATGTTGAATTAAAATTTGTTTTCAATACTCAATCTCTCACAGCCCATGTTCCTTGGAGGGCAGGGACCTGGTCTTTTAATCTTTGTAATCTAGGACCAATCACAATGCAGTAGGTGCTCAGGAACTATCTGCTGAATGAACCACTAGGTTCCAGTACCAGCTCTGTCACACCAAACCATGTCACCGCACCTCTCTGGAACAAAGTTTTTGTTCATCTGCAAAATGAGAAGGTTGTAAAGTCACATGTAAGCCAAACTAACCTTGAAGGAACAATAAAAACAGGGGGAGGAGCAGCAGTAACACCTAAGAATAGTAAGGCTATTTGAATAATTTTTAAATGTAGTTTTTAAAGTACTGTGAAACCACTCTGTATGATACTATAATGGTGGACAAATGACATTATGTATTTGTCAAAACCAACACCAAGAGTGAATCCTAATATAAGCTGTGAACTTTGGGTGACAATGATATGTCAATGCAAAATATCACTCTAGTGGGGAATTTTGGTAGTGGGGCAGGCAGGTTGTGTATATGTGGGAGCAGGGAAGTATACAGAAAATCTCTCTACCTTCTGCTCAGTTTTGCTGTGGATCTAAAACTGCTCTGAAAACAAAGTCTAAAAAGACAAAAAAATGCCTGGAAGATACAGATTTTAATGTTATGATTAATATATATTTTTGGAAACTTCACCTTTACCATTGATTTGTCTACTTTTGATGTTATAACATTAGCTGCTTTTCAAACTGTTGAATAAAAAATGTTCATAATTTCATCTTCAGTCATATATGATGTATTGTATACCTGCCTTGTTTCTAATTAAAATGTACCTACAAAGAAAGTTAAAAATAAAACGATTTTTTTTTTTTTTTGAGACGGAGTTTCGCTCTTGTTACCCAGGCTGAAGTGCAATGGCGCGATCTCGGCTTACCGCAACCTCCGCCTCCTAGGTTCAGGCAATTCTCCTGCCTCAGCCTCCTGAGTAGCTGGGATTACAGGCACGCGCCACCATGCCCAGCTGATTTTTTGTATTTTTAGTAGAGACGGGGTTTCATCATGTTGACCAGGATGGTCTCGATCTCTTGACCTCGTGATCCACCTGCCTCGGCCTCCCAAAGTGCTGGGATTACAGGCGTGAGCCACTGCACCCGGCCAAGAAAACGATTTTTTAAACTAACAATTAAATCTTCTATATTAGCAGGTGTCTTTATATGACTATGAATCTGGAATACAATTACCCTTAAACAAAAGTGACATCAGTATTCATGGAGTCAATGAGCTGGATAACCCTCTTCTTACCATTATTGTGAAGATACGCTATAGCTGATGCGAGACTTTGAATGATCCACCTTGTCTCATTCTCTGAGAAATGCCCTTTCCTATCCAGAATTTCTTTGAGTTCTCCATCCTCACAAAGCTCCATCACAAGGTACATTTTCTGACATTATATATATAAAAGAGAGACCAAATTATGTATCTGGGGATCTTTAAAATGTTATATATCACATATACAATCACAGTCATAATCATGATTTATTCATTCAAAAATATTATTTATCATGTACAAGATACCCAAGAAGCTCATAAATAGTTATCATTACAATATCATGGGATAAGTGCTAATGGCTCCAAATGCCATGGAGTTACAGAAGAGGGGCAGCCTCTGTCTGAAGAACAACCCTTGAGAAGAAACATTAAGGCGAGGTCTGGATGTCTGAATAGGGATTTATAGATAGAGAATGTGGGAAGGAATAGGCAGGGCACATGGTATTTGCAAAGACTCCATAGTCTAAAATAGCACCAGCTGTTAAAAGAATAATCTCAGTGTTAATAAGGTGGAGAGCTTAGTAGGGTGGAGAAGAATGTTATGGTGAGGGGTTAGGCTAGAAAGAACAGGTTGGGGCCAGGTTGTAAAGAGTCATGGATATCATGATAAGGAGTATGAATTTTTTTCCCATATGCAACAAGGAGCCACTGAAGACTTTTAAGCTAGTGCCGGGGTTGTGGGGGGACAAGTGTATGATATTACCAACTTTGCATATCTAAATGAACACACCAGCAATAATGTAGAACAAGGCTCAACAAACCTTTGCGATAGAGACAAGACCCAATAGCAAATATTATTGGTTTTGCAGGCCATGGAGTCTCTTTCACAGCTACTCAGTGCTATTCTGTAGCATGAGAAAGCAGCCATAAACGACACAATAGACTTGAAGATTTACTTATAGACTTGAAAATTTCAGGTTTATAGAATTTTCACATGTCATAAAATATTACTCTTTTACATTTTTGCAACCATTCGGAAATGTAGAAACTTAGCTTATGAGCTATACAAAAACAGGCAGCAGGCCCAATGTGGCTCTCAGACTGTAGTATGCTGACTTTTGTTTATAGAGGGTAGAGATGAGGCATAGAATAGAGACAAGAAGGAGGGAAATGAAAAGATTTTAAAATGCCAACAAGAAAGAAACAGTGGGACTTAGTGACTAATTGGGTATGAGTGATAAGAAGTCATGGCTGAAATGCCTCTTCCATATTTCCTGTTCAGGTAGGGGCATGTTAAGATCATTTGAGGTATTCTAACAGCCAAGTCATCTATTGAGTCAAAAAAGATTCGCGGACAACTAAAAAGCAAGTCTTTTTCACTCATATTTCTATTCAAACACAGAGTACCCTTTATATCTCCATTATAACCTAAGCTGCTAGATTTTTGTTGTTTTTAAGATCTTGGGGTCTGATTTTGTTCTTATAAGCACTGTTAGTGCAACTTCTGTGTTCAATCAGTAAGTATGAAAACAGGAAGCAAAGGCTAACATCCTTTCTTCCTATAGCACAATTCAGATTCACTGTATCTCAGGCAGTTCTGGAATTTCAAAAGTAACTGTAAAATCTAACATATAAATAAGCTTTTGAACTGGACTGTATTTTTTCCATTGACAAGACTGTACAGTTCACTGGTACATAAAATGATAAGCAAACTATTTGGAAGGAAAAGTTGGATTAGCAGTACTTGAAATATAAATTGATGTCAATTTTAAATATGTAAGTTGGTCAAAGTTATATAAATGTAAGCTATAGCCTTTTTATACTTATTAGAAACAACTGTGTAGACCTGGAGAACATTTAGACTCACAAGAAACCATAGCATAGTCAGTCTGGATGATCAGTACCATGGCACAACCAATCAGGTAGCAATTTCTATTAACACTTAAGATGGCTTCAATAGAAGGTCTACATTCTTGTGTGTGTTTATGAGGCAGAGGGGGACAGACCTGACCTACATGAATCAAGGGCAAGCAATACATTTGAAAAATAACAGATGATGGTTTCCTCTGCCTTCAAACTTATTCTAGATTTAGACTTCTGCTTGTGCCCGTAATGGAGTAACAAAGACCAGACTTATCTTCCCACCCGAAACAACTTACTGGACAAAATATATAAAACAATAATTTTTAGACATAAACATCAGGCAGTATAAGGTAGTTATCCCTGAGAGAGAGGAAACAAATGAGGCAGTCCCCATGAGTCCTCTGGCTTGCTGTCTGGAGAGTTTCCAGACCACAGAACAGGGAGAGGGAATCTAAGCAGAGCCTAGCAGTCTCCATCAGTAGAGGGCATGGAGCTGGAAGCCTAGGAAGGCCAAGACAATTAAAGTTCACAGGACAGAGCATCAAAGAGGAGAATGCTGTACAGAGAGAAATCTTCAGAGACTTGCAGAGGATCCCTCAATTCTTCAGGAGAATACAAATCAACACATGTATGAGGAAACTACCCAAAGCTGGGACAAAAATATGCAAAAGGGGCAAGGGAAGAATCACTGGAGGTCACACACAGCCAGGAACAGTTGTGTTCCCATGAGCCAGCGGTAAACCTCGTAATTCATAGAGCACTCGGGAGAGCGCTCAGTAACAGGAAAAACTTAGACCTAGACTAAAGGTTGCTCTGGTGCCACCTAATGAAACTTAAAGAAAGCTTCAAAAGTATCAAAAGTTTTTCCAAGTGACTTAACTATATCCTAGAATAAAGCTTAAGAATAATCATTAGAATATTAAAGTATCTAGCATCCAACAAGGTAAAATTTACAACATTTGGCATCTGGCCAAAATTAATAGGCATGTAAGGTAGCAGGAAAATGGAACCTATAATGAAGGGGGGAAAAACAATGAATTGAAGCTGACCTAGAAATGATACCCATGATAAAATTAGTAAAAACAGACATTAAAACAGTTACTATAACTCCATTCAAGAAGAATGAGGGAAGACAGCATGTTAAGTAGACACACGGAATATATATACAGTTTTAAAAACCAAATCAAACTTCACCGGAAGAGATTGACATCACATACAATGCTATAGACAGAGATTACTGAATCTGAAGACAACAACGGAAGCTATACAAAATGAAACAAGGAGAGAAAAAAATGATTTTAAAAAATGAACAGAGCCATCAGTAGACTGTAGACAATATCAGGCAATCTAACTTGGAGACTGCAAAGTGGGATGAGGGGAAGGCAAATACAACTTTGAGGAAATAATAGCCCCCAATTTCCTAAATTTGATGAAAACCATAAACTCACAGGTCCATGAACCCCAAACACAAAAAAAATGAAGAAAATGATATCAGGTACATTATAATCAAATTGTTTAAAACTGATGATAATAAACACAATTATTATTTAAAAAAAAATTTTTTTTAAGATGGCGTTTCACCATGTTGCCCAGGCTGGTCACAAACTCCTGAGCTCAAGCGATCCACCCGCCTTGGCCTCCCAAAGTACTGGCATTACAGGTGTGAGCCACTGTGCTCAGCCGAAACAAAACTATTCTAAGAAGATTTGGGGATAAAAGAAATCATAACTCTAAGACTGAAAAGGGCAAAGAAGACTTTTGGCATCGCTGCCATATACTGCTCTCATAAAGGATAACTGTGGTCTTAAAGAATCAAGCATAATGCACAACCCGAATTGACTATTACTACCTTAGAGATTGGCCTAGGAGACAAAGAACAATAGCTAACATTTAATGAGACAGATGCTTTATATCAGTTGTCTCATTTAGTCCTTCAACATCAACCAAGTGAGGTCAACACTATTACTAAGCCCATTTTACAGATGAGGAAACTGAAATATGGACAACCTGAGTAACCTGTCCATGTTCTCATGGATAATAAAGAAGTGGTAGAGCCAGGATTCAAATGCGCAGGCAATATGATCCAGAGTCCACATGCCTAATCTGTACATTATTCTTCTAAGAGAAAACACCCAAGCCCACAAGCATTAAACAATCTGGAGGCAGAATGGCAAATAATCCAGGCTTTTGAATGACTCTAAACACAAATTACAGGTAAAGAGAAGAATGACAACATCTAGGGAAATATGAAGATAAAACACATTTTATCTTCAAAGATGAAAAAATATCTTCTACATGCTGTAGTGATAGATACCAATTTGATTATGTAGTTAACTTTACAAAATTATGAAAATATTCCAATAAACTTTAACAGAGAAACTGGTTTAAAATATCTTCTACACACTGTAGTGATAGATACCAATTTGATTATGTAGTTAACTTTACAAAATTATGAAAATATTCCAATAAACTTTAACAGAGAAACTAAGGATCAAAGCAAAAGGAAAGGCACCTCTAAGAAATTTCTAATCACTATTTGGTTGTGTATGAAGTTGTTGTAATTCTAAACATTTGTTTTCAACATGCCACCCAGAACATATTACTGAAGACATCAATCTAGTCATCAGATGTCTAATTATACAATCAATAATAAAAGTCCTCCAGAATGTTCTCATCAATCTCCAGTGACAGACTCATGCCAAGGACATAAGCAACTGTGCCCCAAAGGGATTACTTCAGAATGGAATGATATTCATTTTATAATAACAACTTTCAAAATGCAGCATCTAATACAGCTTTACCTTTGGTGTTTCAAATACTTGTTCCAGATGTATGATGTGTTCATGTTTTACACTTTTCAGAATGTTCACCTCTCGTTCAAGTAACTTCACAGCAGAGCTTCCAGCCTTAATCAATGAAGAAACATAGATTTCACATAATGAAAATCACTCCTACATTCCTTGATACAAAAGTTAGTTGTTTTATATGTTTTCCTACTTTTTTCTTTTTTCTATAACTTCGTATTTGAAGTGAATTCCTACATTTTTTGAGATGTTTCTTTTTCAAATGATATCATGCCATTTATTCCCATGATCAGATTAAATTATGCCCCTTCTTTCCTTTTTTCAATTTTAAGTTACATATAATTTGGCCTCAAGCCACAGCTGTTTCTTGAATTGTTTCTATAACTTAGCTACAACATGGTATCTGTCCCCTCACAAAATTACTAAAATTACTCCAATTTTTAATATGCTTTTTGATATTTCCTTTAAAAATATGTCAATCCCTTGATGTTAGCATAATAAAAACAAAATCTACTTCCAATTACATAAGTTGGGGAAGATAAAAAGTTTTTCTTTTGTTTTGTTGTTTTGATTTGATTATACAGATACACATACACACACAGATATATGTGAAAAATAACAGGCAATGAGATTCTACACTTGGCTCTGAAGAGAGAGAGAGAGAGAGAGAGAGAATTGCAAATAGGTATGCTATTATAAACCCAAAAACAGAACCCCTAACCCTACCTAACACCAAAGGAGCAAAGGAAATGACATCTCAGGTAGCACTTAGGATGCCTATCTGTAGTTTTAAAGAATTCTAAAGATTTCTAGAAAGGCTCATAATCCCTTTATTAAGACTGCTATGTTACCTTACTAATCTTTAGGGAGAAATGGTATGTAATTTGCTACAGTTTCTTTTAAATAATACATAGAGCCTATCATCACACATCCAAGGGGGGAACACCATAATGTTGTTTGTTTTTTCCCAGGCACAGAAATGAAAAAGGGTGATGAAATGATCAGGTGTAAAGTCTGAGGTCTCAGACTTTATGTTCAAGAGAAGCCCAGTCATTCCCCAGTTCAAGAGGAAATCTAGTGAGGAGTACAGCAGGTACAAGAGTATAGAAGCAGACAGTTGGAGAAAAAAGTGGTTCAACATGAAAGAGCAGGCAAGATGAATAAACAGAATTAGCTAACAGTGAGGAAATGAAAGGAGAGGACAGGAGAAAAGTATATCAAAACAACATCAGGAGAGAGTTTCAGCATTCCTAGCTAAGATATCTCTAGTGTACAGCCCTACGCCTACAGATACTGAGAACCAGCCCTTATCTTCAGCATACTCTGGTAAAATTTACCTATTTTTTGTTATATTGGTTATGCTATTCCTTCCATTTGGTTTTTCCAGGCAGCACGTGCCTACTTGAGTTCAGAAACTAGTCCCTTTCCAGGAGGTTAGAAAAATGCCACGCTTCTCCAGGGGATCAGCCCGGGCCTGGGACCTCGGAGTGAGAACCAGCTTGTGTTCATGTGAAAAGCTGTACCGCCCACATCCACCCTGCACTAACACTGAGCCCTCAGTAGGATGCTGCTAATGAGCCTTACCTTTTCTTTGTTCACTTTTTTAATTGCCCACTTTGTTTCTGTTTCCTTGTCTGTAGCTTCGATGACCATTCCAAAGCTCCCTTTTCCCAATATTCTTCCAAAGGTATAGATTTCCTAGAGAAAAAGAAAAAGAGTTCTTTGTCTCTCTATGCCATCATCAGATATTAAAAATGAATATATAATATTGACAGATACTCACCCAAAGGAAGAGAGATTCTGCTCCACAGTAAAATCAAATAGAAGACACTACATATTTGCTTCAATACTAATTAACACATCTTAATTAACCAAAAATAAGTGTTGATGAATTTTATTAACTGTGCTTTGGAGGAAAACCACAAAAATCCTAATGGCGAAATGTGGAAAAACTCAAAAGTATAAAAATGAATCTCTTTCAGTCTATATTAATGAAATATCTCCATAAGAAAAATGAGAAAGAGTATTAATATATATATATGCATAAGTTTGTATATTTATAAAATACACTCAATCAAAAAAATCACAAATCTCTGAGAGCTGTACTACCAATCAACACATATTAACTATTGAACAAATGTTTCCTTATTTAACAATTAATGCTCTTCCTTTATCTTCATTATTAAAAACTTTTGTTGTTTTATTCCTTTTGCTTTAGAAAAGGCAATATGTGACAAAAATTTTAACCAGATCAGCACTGAGAAAAAAATAACCACTACCCATAAAACCATCATCCAAACCAAGAAGCCATCCTCTTAGCATTTAACTTCTCCTTACAAAGAAAGAATTCGATGGTTTTGCCAACACCAGCATGTTGGTTTGCATTGTAAATAATAAACAGCTAACTCATTTACACTTTCATTCCTTGTAAATTTGGTTTTGGGGAAGTCAGTCACCCTGATCCAAGTAAACTCCAGGGCATTAACAAGAGTTTCTGGACCCATCATGCATAGGAACAAGAACATGGGAGAGCAGCTGAACTGATGCCACTAGGTAATGCCTTGGTTGGGTCAGCTAGTCAAAGCCTTCCCTAGAAATGCCACTCACTCTCTCTGTGTGACCACTTTCACATTCACCACATGTATTAGTCCATTTTCACACTGCTGATAAAGATATACCTAAGACTGGGAAATATAAAAAAAGAAAGGTTTATTGGACTTACAGTTCAACATGACTGGGGAGGCCTCACAATCATGGTAGAAGGCAAGAAGGAGCAAGTCATATCTCATGTAGATGAAAGCAGGCAAAGAGAGGGCTTGTTCAGAGAAACTCCCATTTTTAAAACCATCAGATCTTGTGAGACCCATTCATTATCACGAGAACAACATGGGAAAGACCCACCCCCATTATTCAATCATCTCCCACTGGGTCCCCCACATGACATGTGGGAATTATGGGAGCTACAAGATGAGATTTGGGTGGGGACATAGAGTCAAACCATATCATTCCACCTCTGGCCGCTCCCAAATCTCATATCTTCATATTTCAAAATCAATTATGCCTTCCCAACAGTCCCCTAAAGTCTTAAGTCATTTCAGCATTAACTCAAAAGTCCATAGTCCAAAGTCTCATCTGAGACAAGGTAAGTCTCTTCTGCCTATCAGCCTGTAAAATCAAAAGCAAGTTAGTTACTTTCTAGATATAATGGGGGTATAGGCATTGGGTAAATACAGCCATTCCAAATGGGAGAAATTGGCCAAAACAAAAAGGCTACAGGCCCAGTATAAGTCCAAAATCCAGTGGGGCTGTCAAATATTAAAGCTCCAAAATGATTTCCATGTCTCACATCCAAGTTATGCTGATGCAAGAGGTAGATTCCAATAGTCTTGGGAAGCTCTACCCCTGTGGCTTTACAGGGTACAGCCTCCCTCCTGGTTGCTTTCACGGGCAGACATTTTGAGTGTCTGCAGCCTTTCTAGGTACATGGTGCAAGCTGTTGGTGGATCTACCATTCTGGGGTATGGAGAATGGTGGCCCTCTTCTCAAAGCTCCACTAGGCAGTGCCTCAGTAGGGACTCTGTGTGGGGGTTCCCACCCACACTTCCTTTCTGCACTGCCCTAGAAGAGGCTCTCCATGAGGATCCCGCCCCTAGAGCAAACTTCTGCCTGGGCACCCAGGCATTTCCATATATCTTCTGAAATGTAGGCATAGGTTCCCACAACCTAATTCTTGACTTCTGTGCACTCATAGACTCAACACCACATGGAAGCTGCCAAGGCTTGAGGCTTGCACTCTGAGGCCACAGCCTGAGCTCTATGTTGGCCCCTTTCAGCCATGGCTGGAGTGGCTAGGATGCAGGACACCAAGTCCCTAGGCTGCATACAGCACACAGACCCTGGGCCTGGTCCACAAAATCAATTTTTCTTCCTAGTCCACTGGGTAATGGGAGGGGCTGCTGCGAAGATTTCTGACATGCCCTGGAGACATTTTCCCCATTGTCTTAGGGATTAACATTTTCCCCACTGTCTTGGCTCCTGGTTACTTATGGAAATTTCTGCAGGTGGGCTTAAATTTCTTCTCAGAAAATGGGATTTTCTTTCTATTCCATTGTCAGGCTGCAAATGTCCTGAATTTTTATGCTCTGCTTCCCTTAAAAAACTGAATAACTTTAACAGCACCCAATTTACCTCTTAAATGCTTTTCTCCTTAGAAATTTCTTCCACTAGATGCTCTAAATCATCTCTCTCAAATTTAAAGTTCCACAAATCTCTTGGGCAGGGGCAAAATGCCACCAGTGGCTTTGGTAAACATAACAAGAGTCACCTTTGCTCCAGTTCCCAACAAGTTCCTCATCTCCATCTGAAACCACCTCAGCCTGGATTTCATTGTCCACATCATTATCAGCATTTTGGTCAAAGACATTCAACAAGTCTCTAGGGAGTTCCAAACTGTCCCACATTTTCCTGTCTTGCTCTAAGCCCTCCAAACTGTTCCAACCTCTGCTGTTACTCAGTTCCAAAGTCACTTCCACATTTTTGGTTATCTTTTTGGCAGCACCCCACTCCTGGTACCAATTTACTGTATTAGTCCATTTTCACACTGATGATAAAGACATACCTGAGACTGGGCAATTTACAAAATAAAGAAGTTCATTGGACTTACAGTCCCATAAGGCTGGGGAGGCCTCACAATCATGACAGAAGGCACGGAGGAGTAAGTCACATCTTACGTGGATGGAAGCAGGCAAAGAGAGGGTTTGTGCAGAGAAACTCCCGTTTTCAAAACCATCAGATCTTATGAGATCCATTCACTATCACAAGAACAACACAGGAAAGACCTGCCTCCATGATTCAATCATCTCCCACTAGTTCCTTCCCACAACACATGGGAATTATGGGAGCCACAAGATGAGATCTGGGTAGGGACAAAGAACCAAACGATATCACTAGATAACAGCTAAATTAGAGGCTTGTCTTCATATTTTCTTTTTTATGTTTTTTTTTTTGACTGTTGAAAGAATTAACACTTTTTAAATATATTTTAAGTTCTGGGGTACACATGCAGATTGTGCAGGTTTGTCATGTAGGTATACATGTGCCATGGTGGTTTGCTGCATCCAACACCCCATCATCTACATTAGGTATTTCTCCTAATGCTATCCCTCTCCTATTCCCCCACCCCCTGCTATCCCTTCCCAACCACACTCCACACCCCAACAGGCCCAGGTGTGTGATGTTTCCCTTCCTGTGTCCATGTGTTTTCATTGTTCGACACACACTTACGAGTGAGAACATGTGGTGTTTGGTTTTCTGTTCTTGTGTCAGTTTGCTGAGAATGATGGTTTCCAGGTTCATCCATATCCCTGCAAAGGACATGAACTCATCCTTTTATATGGCTGCATACTATTCCATGGTGTATATATGCCACATTTTCTTTATCCAGTCTATCATTGATAGGCATTTGGGTTGGTTCCAAGTCTTTGCTATTGTGAACAGTTCCACATAAACATACATGTGTCTTTATAATAGAATGATTTATAATCCTTTGGGTATATACCTGGTAATGGGATTGTTGGGTCAAATGGCATTTCTAGTTCTAGATCCTTGAGGAATTGCCACACTGTTTTCCACAATGGCGAACTAATTTACACTACCACCAACAGTGTAAGAGCATTCCTATTTCTCCACATCCTCTCTAGCATCTGTTGTCTCCTGATTTTTTAATGATCACCATTCTAACTGATGTGAGATGGCATCTCAATGTAGTTTTGATTTGCATTTCTCTAATGACCAGTGATGAGGAGATTTTTTTCATTTTTTTTTTGTCGTCTTTTGAAAATAATCTTTTCATATCCTTCATCCACTTTTGATGGCATTGTTTCTTTTTTCTTGTAAATTTGTTTAAGTTATTTGTAGATTCTGGATATCAGCCCTTTGTAAGATGGATAGATTGCAAAAATTTTTTTCCATTCTCTTGGTTACCGGTTCACTTTAATGATAGTTTCTTTTGCTGTGCAGAAGCTCTTTGGTTTAATTAGATCCCATTTGTCTATTTTGGTTTTTGTTGTCATTGCTTTTGGTGTTTCAGTCATGAAGTCTTTGTCCATGCCTACGTCCTGAATGGCACTGCTATTCAGTACTGAATGGTTTTCTTTTAGGGTTTTTATGGTGTTAGGTCTCATGTTTAAATATTTAATCCATTTGAAGTTAATTTTTGTATATGGTATAAGGAAGGGATCTAGTGTTAGCTTTCTGCATTTGGCTAGCCAGTTTTCCCAACACCATTGATTAAACAGGGAATCCTTTCCCCATTGCATGTTTTTGTCCAGTTGTTTGTCAAAGATCAGATGGTTGTAGATGTGTGGCGTTATTTCTGAGACCTCTGTTCTGTTCCATTGGTCTATATCTCTGTTTTGGTACCAGTACCATGCTGTTTTGATTACCGTAGCCTTGTAGTATAGTTTGAAGTCAGGAAGGATGATGCCTCTAGCTTTTTGTTTGTTTTTTGTTTAGGATTGTCCTGGCTATGTGGGCTCTTTTCTGGTCCCATATAAAATTTAAAGTCTTTTTAAAATTTTTTTTTAAAAATTTTTCTGTGAAGAAAGTCAATGGTAGCTTGATGGGGATAGCATTGAATCTATAAATTACTTTGCACAGTGTGGCCATTTTCATGATATTGACTCTTCCTACCATAAGCA